TAATGCTATATGGGTTACATTACATTCAAGGTGGCATATAATCGCTTGTAAGTATGAATTGAAAAAGTGTACGATTAAATGAATAGGGACTTTTAGAATTTTTCAGGTCTAGTGGAAGTTGGTTCCACAAATGAGTAGCGGAGTACGCTAAACTTGTTTTATATAAATCTATTCTAGGTTTAGGCAAATGTAATACATTTAGTCGCTTGCTGTTTATAGGATTTGATTTAATTAATCGGAAAAAGTAGCTAGGAGTATTTTGAGATAAAATTTTAAAAATAAATTTGGCCTTGTTAAAAATTAAACGTTTGCTAAATGGCAATAGTCTTGGATGGTTATAGAGATTATTTTTTACGATATGTTTACTATCTGAAACCAGGCGTAAAGCACGGTTTTGAAGAGAACTTAGTCTTTTAACATTGGATTTGGTGCAACCATCCCAAACTGTGGAACAATAGTCAACATGTGTTTGGATGTAGGACGCTTAAAATACATTTCCTGCATCTTCGTCTAGAAAGTGCGGAATTTTGGCAAGCTGATAAACTTTTTGTGCTATTTTCTTAGTTATGACAGAAACATGAGAATTCCAGGTTAAATGGTTGTCAATTGTAAGGCCTAAAGTTTTGTGTTCCGTTACATTAACAATAGGTAATTTAAAAATGTAGAACTCGAGTGTTGGCTTGTGCAATACTAATGTTTGCAACTTTTGTCTGGTTGTTATAAGCATAGACTTCGTTTTATTTATGTTAATTTGCATGCGATTGCTGTTGCTCTATTTACAAAGATTGTGTACTTCTTTCTGTAAAAATCTTTCTAACTCATTACGGTTCTCATTACTAGTATATATTGTGCAGTCATCAGCAAATAAATCGCATGTTATGCTAAAATGTAATGGAAGGTCGTTAATATACGTGGCAAATAGTAGTGGACCTAAAATCGACCCCTGTGGCACGCCTATATTTAACTGAGTGGATTCTGACAGGCGGTTGTTGAAGCATACTGCATGCTGTCTATCAGATAAAAATAACCCCATTATTTCGACTAAATTATAGTTAGTTTTTTATATTTTTAATTTATTAATTAGAATATCATGATCAACCATATCGAAAGCTTTCTTAAAGTCTACAAAAACTGCACGGCAAATGTTGCCTTTGTTGATGTTAAAGTGCCAGTTGTCTGTCATTTTTGTCATCGCAGTATGGCAAGAGTGCATAGACCTGAACCCTGATTGGCTATCAACTATCAGATTGTTGTTATTTAAATGCTGAAACGTTATTTTATGTAAGTGTTTCTCCAATGGTTTGGAAAGCGATGACAGTAGAGAAATGGGTCTATAACTGCCAGGAGAACTGTTGTCAGCTGAGCCAGGTTTGAGTAGAGGATAAACTTTGGCAATTTTAAATGCTGATGAAAAGTAGTTCTTAGCAAGGGACTGATTATATATAAATGTTAGGGAGTCACTAGTGACTGGTGCAGCACATCGAAGAATTCGATTACTGATTCCATCTAAGCCAGAGGAGTTTGTTTTGCTTGAGGTTGGACAGATATTTATACACTTCAGCAACAGACAGAAGTGGGATCTCTGGAGAAATAGTCGTGGTGCATTTTTCCTCACAGAATGATGCTAGTAGGCTTAAGTCCAACTGTGAATCTGGTATTGATGACTTTAAATACTCAATTTCTGATTTAAAGAAGGAACTGAACGTTTCACATGTTAGCAAATTAGGTATTGTTTCAAGTCCATTGCTGCCATAATCTTGAGAGCATTGAGTCCTTTTTGTCATTTCACTGCAACTGCATCCACATGATCCCTGAAGGATAGGCTTCTATCCAAAATCATACACAGATACCTCAGTTTGCTTTCTCTTTTGACACTACTGTTATTAACTGTGAGGTTTGGAACGTTAGCTTTTACAATTATATTGTCCAAAGAGCACCAGAGGGGAGGGGAGAGAAAGAGAGAGAGAGAGAGAGAGAGAGAGAGAGAGAGAGAGAGAGAGAGAGAGAGAGGTCGAACACAAAATTGGAAGTACTAACAAATACAAATGATAAATCAAAGCACATTACTGGAGGATCTGCGACGAAAGGCAGAGTAAATGGGAGGTCGCATGCCATACTCCAGTGCAACAAATGCCATACTCCAATGCAACAAATGACATACTCCAGTGCAACAAATGACGTACTCCAGTGCAACAAATGACACACTCCAGTGCAACAAATGACATACTCCAATGCAACAAATGACATACTCCAATGCAACAAATGACATACTCCAGTGCAACAAATGACATACCCCAATGCAACAAATGTATGCAGATAGACAACCAACCACCCAAAACAAAAGCAATATATAATAATACTAGAAATCTAGAGATGGCGGACTCACTGCCCTGGCAATGCAAATACTGATCTAAAAACAGAGACTAAACACATTAAAAAACGTACGACAATGGCAACCTGACATTTGGGATATTGGACAGTTCAGAAGAACACTTACTCAGCCAAAATGTTTATTTACAGGAACTAGAGACGCCGAGGGGGATAAGACGACACTGGTAGGGAGGGACACAGCCATTTATAATGACACATAAACTTTCAAAGCGATACCATTTGCGCAATAACTATCACGGCCAAAATATTTATCACAAAGAAGCCAGAACCGTATGCAGACAAATTTGCTCGCAGAAGGTAGAACGTGGTTGACTGTTTTTGTTTTGTTTTTCTACAAAAAAACATGGACAAGAACTTACAAAACAATGCACCTGACATAGCTGGTCTTGGAGAACTTGAGGACAACACTCATACACGCATGGGAATACTCAGTATATAGTGATGTCGATTGTGATAACATGCGATAACTGATTGTCAGATACCGCTCGTGTCGCGTCCCTGTTTAAGGGTTTTTCCTTAAGAACTAACAGCACTCTGAAATAGTATAATGTTGAGTTGTCGGCTCGTATTGGTCTAAAGGGTATCCCGCGGCCAATATACACCCAACCTTTTTCATGAGTATGGCAACTCAAGCTATGGCACAGCAGATTATACAATATTCATGGGCGCAACTTGGCTGGACGTCCCCACTACTATAAGAAAATGGCCCCCAGGTTATGATAATGTACAATCATAGCCATGTTAACACAGAATAAGATTGCTGGTTATGCATACATATACTCTAGACAGTTTTGAACCCGCTAGGGGCGTTAACCTCACGAATAGTCTAATGTGTAGAGGTGGGTTTGGCCATTCCACGACACTGATGTGATGTGATAACTGATGTGATGTGATAACTGATGTGATGTGATAACTGATGTGATGTGATAACTGATGTGATGTGATAACTGATGTGATATGATAACTGATGTGAATATAGAAGAGGTTTTTTCCTGTGTATGTATGTGCGCCATCGACAATCTCTCTTGATGATTGGATTCAGCACATTTGTTTGCAAAAAAAAAGCAAAAATATAAAAGACCCCTTTGAATGCCATTCAGGCGTAATGGGTATATAGGGCTAGTCATATATTGTATAGACCAAACGACACTTGGTGGGTGATGTGATCAGCATCACGCCGGCCACCTTTGCTCCCCAGGACTGTACCTGGTACCCCTCAAGGCTGGGTCGACCTGGGAGCCAAGGTCTTTTTTTTTTTAAATGTCCTGGCCCCGTCAGAACCCGAACACACGACATTCCGATCGGCAGGCGAGCGTACGTTTGTTTGCGATTGGACCTAATCAAAGTAAGGAGATTGAGAAGAAATATGCCGAGGAGGAAGCTGACAAAAAGAAGGACAACGGAGAGGGAGGGGAAGGGGAGAAAGATTTATTGGCAAACACAGAGACAGGCACAGAGAGGAAGAAGAGGTACAGATAAACGGATGTATAGGTAGACAAATAGATTGACCAACAATCCGATACCAACAAACAGACAGACAGGCATGCAGCTAGACAGAAAAGTTTGTAGATAGATAGATAGAAAGGTAGACAGACAAACAATTATAATAGATGGAAACAGTGAAAGAGAGTGTGAGATAGTCTGATAGCGACACACACACATACACACACACAGACACACACACAGACACACACACCGACATACACACACACACAGAAAAAGAGTGTGAGATAGACTTATAGCGACATACACACACATACACACACACACACAGATATACACACACAGAAAGAGAGTGTGAGATAGACTGATAGCGACATACACACAGACACACAAACACACACTCACACACATAAATAGAGAGAGAGAGAGCGAGAGAGAGAGAACAAGAGAAAGACAACGTTGTGATTATTCAGGGAATTGCATCACCTTTAAACTTTTCTTAATTTCCGGCAATTCAAGACCGCTACAGGCCTGATTAACTCTCCAGAAGCCAGAATTAAAACGCTTTTGTGTTTTTTGAAATAGGATACAACTTTTATTTTCGTTGCCCTCAGCCGAATAAAGGCACATAAAGCTATCGACATTATTTTTACCATCCTTACTGTCCTTCCTATTTCTTCTTCGTTGTCATCTGAAATGCCATAGAAAGATTCTCAGAATATTTTGGACAAAGAAGAGGGGAAATACTGACATCTTGAAAAATCTGAACATCAAGGAAGATTGGCTCATAAACAGCATCTTGCCTCGCAAGATGAAATATGTTGGTCATATCAAGCCCCACGACGGATTGGGGAAAAAAAAGCAGAAGGCATGGTACCAGGAAGGAGGGGCAGGGGCCGACCAACATGAAGATGTGCAGAGGATATAAGTTACTCCTTGAGTATGAAAGTACATGAGGCTGCAGAGCTGGCGTGAGACTGAGTTTGCTTCAGACAGACCGTGATGAGAGCGACGTTCTGCAAAGGACCTGCTACATGATGATGATGTCATCTAGGACAGTGCTCTTCCACGTTATTTACACCAGCAAAGTAAAGGACCTTTGTCCACTCCTTGGGCAGGATCAGTTTCTCAGATCTTGTCATTATTCCATCTCCATAGTTTCTCAG